TCCTTCCTTCCTTCCTTCCTTCCTTCCTTCCTTCCTTCCTTTTCTTTTTCTTTTTCTTTCTAGGGCACCATCAATCAAGACAAGCAAAATAAACCCACAGTCCCGCTGCAGATCCATCTGTTTTCTCGCTCCTTCCTTCTCCAGTGCCTCCTCAACAGTGGTCCTGTTTGGATTTATCAAGATACAACACCTTCACCAGATCTTGCAGTTCAGTCCTGCACTCTTGATTTTCACATATTTGGTTGATCTGAGCTTCTCCCTCACTGAATATTCTCCACTGACCTAAAAGAAACAAAATAATTTTTTTAAAAGCAATGCGCAATTTCAAGACGGAAATGAAAATTACAGCACGGTGTGCAGGATATTTGGAATCGTTTGCATGTGGATCTGGATCGATGAGTTTTCGTGTTTTCATGTACTTCTCTATGAGCTTTACATTCCAAAAACATCTGGCCTTTACTGGCTCATGCATCTGAAAACTTCCCGATTCCAACCTGAATAAGGATTCACATCCACAAAGGAAGCAATCAGTTTTGTTAACTGCAAACTCAGGTGGTGAATGCAAACTGAATAGGTACCACACCAGGCCCATCAATGCCAAAAGGAGGTTCAGAATACTGAGATATATATTTTTAAAGGCAGCTAACTTCTCCTATATTTACAGAAGTACCAATCATTGTCGTCATCATCGTCATCATCATCATCACCATCACCATCATCACACCTCTAATGTAAAATAAGCTCTTATTCTTCCTCCTTCAGCAAAAAGAAGAACCATAGCCATGGAATACTGTTTTTCAGTTCAAAAAGAAAGCTAAAACCTGGGAATATTGAGAGAGGAGAAATGCCTTACTGGTGCTCCTGGCCCCTTATAGCCCAAAAGGAGACCAGAATGGCAGATCCTTCCTCTAACTCAGCTTTGCAGGACTGGGTGATGTCATGGAGGAAGATTCAAAACTCAACCTTTCCCACAATGGTATCATCCAGTTCAGGGAAGAACTTTCTTGGCCAATCTTCCAGGTGCGATATCTGGTAACCTTAAACATCTTGCATCTTCATCTTTTGGAGATGGCAGAACCTGAGGAAAGAGCTTTCACTGAAGACCCCATGGGCCACCTGGTGGACTGGATTAGGCCAGATGTTCTCCAACCCCAATTTACAGTATTCTGGAAGGAGATACAACTATCTGGCAGAAGTTCTGGAGAAGGTATTCCTGCTAGGTGATCAAAACAGTTTCTACTTCTCACAGGTATGCTATTAATGAAAGAACTATGCACCAGTTATTTAGAAATTCAGCCCCTTCTCTCAGCTCAGCAACAATGACGTATAGAGAAGGGGTGGATATGCATTTGTGAAAGGAATTGCCAAATTAGGCATGAAGTCAAAAATCTTTGATTATGGGATCTGCAGAGATTCTGACTATGAGACAAGGCTGGGGGAAGAAGCAAGTCTGCACATATAGAATCTGTATTCACATGGCCACATTGCGAGAAACAGGTGGAGCAATGAAGAATATGCTTCCCCTTTGATGAACAGAAAAGACAGGATAGCCCAATCTTTTGGTACATTCTTCTCTGCACACTGACTTGCACAGGAGCAATCCCTTGTGAATGTACTGTATATGATCTTATTGTTCCCTTTCCCCTCTATAAACTTCCCAAATATGGAAGGATTTGAAAGATGGTATGGACAGCAGGATGCTCTTTTTAATAGCACAAATACACAATGGAAGCTAGTGGGGTTGGCATACCTACCAAGAACACAACAACCCCAAATTGTAATTTAAGGGTAATGGATAAAGAAATGCTGACTCTCTCTTGCTGGGGTTACCCATTTGTTCTTGGAGAAACTATGACTTCTCAAAGGTTCTGAGAATTAAAAAGAGACAGGCTGAAAAAGAGTGCCTGGTTTTAACACTTGACTCTCAGTCCACTTCAGATTTTGAGTCTTCCAGCATCCATGTAAACAAATCAGAGGCCAAAGAGAATCAAGGAATTGTTTTTCTAGGATAATTGATTGTACAAACAACCCTTTGATTCACACTAATGAAATGAGGATGAGAATGTCTTCCAAAACTGTGGTCCTGGAATTTTTTGGCTACAGCCAAGCTGTAACTTGAAACCAAAAAGGTCAGTTGATTTGTTTAAAGTGCTGGTTCTTGACCACATTACATTCCAGAATTATTAAATCCAAATGTCTCAGGGAAAAGAGTGCCTTTAATCTGATGAAGAGATTAAAAGACATCAGAATAAGGTTTTACTTACTCAGAGTCGTCCTTGTGAACTGCCTGAAGTGTGACAGTTGTCTGAATTCCTCCTTGGACAATGTCTCAGTATTGAAGTGGCTCAGGATACCTGTTGCAAAGTCATTAGAAGAATACAAGCAGTTAGGAACCAACTTCTGGTTTTCAGCACTTATGTTCAACTACCTAGGTGATCCACCAGTGAACTGACTCCCGATGGGCAAAATTGTGCAGAAATCTTTAGATTTCTGCAGTGGTTTGGACCAAGTCTCCACAAGGTGTTTCAAAGTGTGGAGGAACGCACCACCTTAAAGCAGCTAGACTGAAATGTCGCATGGCCTGGAATCGTTGTCTGGACTTCTAACCTGATTTATCTTTCTCTGCAGGAGCATCAAGGACAACCATAGGTAAAAAAACCTCCAAGGCATCAACATCACAGACGTGAGTTGGGCAAGGTTTCTGGTGGGTGTTTGGGGTTGGGAGTTCAAGAGTTGGCTTGGCTCAGGTGATACAATCCAGGCAAAGGCCTCACATCTGTTTTTATTGTTTTCTACCAACAAACAGCTAATGCTGTTCCATGGTTTGCAGCCAGAATTTAACAGCCCTATTTTTGGGGGCAGGGGGGAACTGGAGGGGCTGATGAAAAGACTCCAGGAGTCCATTTTTGGCCTGCAGCTCAAGGATCTCCTCCTCATTTCAACAGTGAGCTTTAATCACTAATTTGCTATAAAACATCCATTCTTTGGGGCAAATACTTTATCCAGTGGAGGGACTGAGCAGGAGAAGAACAATACACATATTTTATGCTACAAGCATGTAAAACTCAGGAGCAAGAGAAATCAAATTCCAGAGTGATTGAACATAATCCAGTGCATTTTATTCCAAATTAAATCCTTCTGAGTTTAATGGATTCCAAACAAGTATACAGAGGTACAGGTAAAACTTAAAGATGCCCTTGAGTTGAGCTCAACTCTTTTTCTTGGCAGCAATACAGAAGTTTTTGCCTTTGACTTTTGGGGGCTCTTTTTAAAAAACTTTCCAGCTTGGCCTACAGCCCTGCTATTTCCTGGTCATTATCAGTTCAGAAACTAGCCAGCCCAACCCTGCTTCACTTCTGAACCCAGATGGGGCAAATCTGGTACTGCCTCACGGTGAGACTAAGCCCAAGTCAACCAGAAGAATGTGAGGTGGAATAGTGACTCCTTTTTCAGGGGTTTTGCATCGTCATCTGCAAACTGCAACTGGAGAAACTGTTGCTTCATTAAATCAGTCTTTGGATAGAATATGGAGTACTGAAATAAAATCTCGAGAGCCTTCCTCTTTGTGATGTCAGAGGAATACCTCCTAAAAGATGGTGGCGTTGATGGCAGGATTCCCCCCTCCCCCCCAATATTTTGTATGAGAAATAATGATTGTTTAAAGCCACCGAGTAATTAAGTGTGGGTAAAACAAATGAACCAACCCATGCGCTAAAACAAATGGGGAGGGTTCCAAAATAATAATTAAAAGAAAGAAATGAAACTCATATTTACAAAAATGTTTGCAAATAGTTCTGTAAATATACTCAGTGAATTTTGGACGGTGCCCTTCTTCTGCAGCGAACTTTTTTTAAAATTGTTTTTCATAATGTAATCACTGAAACCGTTGCCAAGCGCTCCTAATCTTTTTGGATCAGGAGCACTTTTACAACCTCGAGCACACACCATGGCCGACCTGCCCCAGTGGCCCCAAGACTTGATTTCCTCTCTTCCTCATGGCCTTAATCTTGGAAAAAGAAAGAATTCAGCACCTCTCTGAATAGTCCACGTGTGGATCTCCACTTGCGAAGTTTCATTATTTTCCAAGGCTATTTTTTGGATGGTTTCTCCCTCCGTGTTGAAAACAGCTTCATAGACTGGAAGCGTCTCCTCGCCACAGAAATAGCCTTGATCTTCAGGGAGCTGACTTTCAATTTCTTCTGCAAGAGAAACAAGCGATGGCCATATTTTAGGAATCTATTCTATCTCACCTCTATTGTTGCATTTTGCTCCAAAGGAAACCCCATTGTATTCAATGGGATGTATTCTCAGGGGCTGTACACAGGTTTGTAGTTCCTTTGTCACCTGAGTTACTATAATGGGAAGAAGGAATAACCTTGAGGAACAGGAGGAAGAGCCGCAACCAAGACAACGGTCAGATAAAAGAAATTTGAGTCCGAGACAGAAATATAATTTGAGGCGGTGTCTCAGGCGTGGCCCTCCCTAGCTCTCATGAAGATAAAATGGGGAAGGGGGAAGCACAATCAAATTTGCAAGATTCTCTTACTATAACGTTATAGTCAAAGTAGTATAAGCTTGCCTATCTTTGGTTTCCAAGTTTGGTCTACCTTGGAAGACTGACAATTACACATCATCATAGTATTCCTGCATCTTTTCAGATTCTGATTCCAAACATTACAATATACCATTTTTTTCTTTAAAATGCCATCTATATTCTTGGAAGAAGCACAATAGCATGGTGGTCAATCAGCTCTCTAATGAGGCAGAGTGAGGCCACCATTCTTCCTGAGTCTTTGAGCCATTCCCCTGTCTTGGAGAACAAGCATATCTTCAGCTTGCTTGCTGCCTTGAAGTGCAGGGGTTGGTCCTGTTCCATAAATATTGAAATTACAGTCAATTCCAGCCTGGCTGGCTTCTGAATGTGGAGGGCAGAGAGTTCTTGACTGCCTTTGCCTTACAAAGTGACTGCACATTGAGTCAGTAGTTCCAGCAGTACTGCTTCGGTTGGTCCTTTTTATATTTTATTTTAGTTTCTTTGTTTTTGTTTTAATTTGCAAACTTGCAGTAATAATGATAAAGAAACCAGCGATGCTAGAACACCTCCATGAATACGTTATTTTCCTGAGTATCAGCTTTCAGAGCAGAAGAGAGCCACTTGGCCTAATTTCAACCCTCCTTTGCAAGAGATCATTTTAGACCTCTAGTAAGAGCTGACTCCTACAGTTTGCTACCTGGGGGAGAGGAAGGTATCAGCAACAGAGTGAAGGTTGTGTGTTGGAGTATCTTCTGCCATTTTCTTGCACCCAATCATTGTTTCTGCTCTATCCACCACGTGGCCCCCAACAATCCAGCAAGACATTGTCAACCTACCTGGACAAACTCTGCAGCATTTCCCTTCAATTTTCTCTGGCTGTTCACAGGGATACTGAAGGGGGCAAGTAATTGCTTTACATTCGTGCTTGGTGACATTGCAGGTACATAAGACGCACTCCACTATTCCATAGAACTGGAGGTACGGATGCCACGATTCTCCATGCGAGTAGGTTTTTCCATTTGAAATGCATACTAGAATAAAGAATGGGTGGGGGAATGGGGTGGAAGTGTTAGATATCAGAAACAGATATCTAGTGGCCACAGTCTTTCCACCCAATGGCGATTTCTCTCACTAGTGACTTAGAACATCTTCCTAGCCTCATCCAGTCATCATTAAGGCGCTCTGAAGCCTGCCCACATTACTATTATTTTGGCACATCAATGGTTGGATGACTCTAGAAGACACTAGATGCTGTGAACTGGGTTGTGAATCTTTGCTTTCACCTCTCATGGAACATGTCTAAATTTAGAATAAGGTGGGGGTACTGCTGGATGGGAAGAAACCTAGAAATGGTTACACCTGTATCCAGAATAATTTTGAATCTGGGCAAAAAGGATGTTAAAGTCTAGAGGTTGGTTGTTTAGTGGTACAAAGCACATCCTATGGGAAGAATCCAAGAGTTCAGATCATTAACGAAAAGCTCTTAATTCTTGATGTTTCCCCCATGACATGCTATTCTTTCACAACCCCATATATGTCTACACAAAAGTAAGCCTCATGAAATTCAGCAGAACTTATCTTTAGAGATGTTTGGTGCCAAAATGATTTTTTAAAATGACTTTTATGTCAGGTCAGTCATAACAGCTCAAAGTCTGTGGCCTAGCCATGCCAGAGAAATCTGTCAAACAAGGAATATAATTGATTGATTGCCATCCAAAGGACTTTTTGGCCCTCTGTAAACAGCTGAAACAAAGCTCATGGATGCTGATTTGGCATTTGGGGAACCAGAAGCAGGATAGGCTGGAGGCCAATGTAGGAGAACAAGCCATGACTTCTCTCAGCAAGGCAGAGGACAAGCCCTCTTTTCCACTTGACAAAGGGGTCAACCAGGTTACAAAATATCAATGTATTTGTGTGGGATCAGTCAACAACCCTCCTTCCCCTGGATTGTCTTCTGTGGCGACTGCCTTACTCAGTGGTATAACTGCCTTCATTTTCCACCAGCTAGAGATGGCTAGTATGAAAATAAACTCCCAAAAGACCACTCAAACACATTTTATAGCCTGGAGTTAAAGAACGTATTCTAGATATATGCAGAATGCTTTCCTTCTATTGTTACTAACCACCATACTTCTAATTCTGAAGTATTGGCCCTTCTCTCTCCATGTCCTTTTCTGATATTAATCTATTCATTTGCTGGCTCTTCTCTGGCCAGAAAGCTTGGATGCCTAGAAGTGAGTCCACCACTCTTCCATTCAGTGACTTCTAAGACATTTGAGCCCTTTGGCTATGGGCCAGCCAATTCATAATACGCCAGTTAACATCACAATATTTTTGTTCCCATTTGGAAAGAGGGGAGAAAAAGAAAAAACATCTTGGACTCAAGAAGCCCCTCCTTAGCCCTTGAAAAGTGCAGCACAATGCATGAGAAATGTGCTATTCATTTGCAAGGTTTTTTTAAAATGTACCAAAGCAAATCAGTTAGAAACCGCTTTGATGCTGTCTTCGTGTGTGAACTGAGGTTTGAAGACTTTGCAGCGGGTGGAGATTTCTTGCTCTGAGACATGAAGCATTCCACTTGAGACAAATGTTATCCCATGATAGTTCAGGTGAATATTCAAGTCTCCATCGCCAACATGCCTTCAGTAAGTCAAAACCTTGCAAGATTAGTTGGCCTTAAATCAAAGGCTTTAAAGATTTTGCAGGCCACGTGGAAGGTCCATGGACTGCTGACTTTGGGCCAAGTGGCTTTTGTAACTTCGGAATCTCCCAGGTTTTTCCCTTGGTTTCAGCTATCAAAACTTAAGATGTGGTTCATGCAACTATCAAATCTGGATGTTGGGACATAGGGACCTTCTGTGTTGGTATTCACAAGTATTTTTAGGACTGGGCTTCGTATGTCCAGGGATCTAATTAACCTGAAGGAACCTTCTCCCAAGTGACACATAGATATTGTTATATATATACTGCCACCTTTGTGCATGTTAGTTCACAAAACGTAAGATTGGCTGGAGAATCAATTTATTTTACATAGTTATGTTTATATTTTATTTTGCTTTTCCTCTGGAAGCTCAGGGGATGCATGTGGAAACCTCCTCATTTTACCTTCACCACAACAACCTTGTGAATGGGGTTGGGCTGAAAAAATGACTAGTTAAGAAGCCCCGTTGCTGAGTTGGACATGAACTTGGGTTCCCTTGGTCCCAAGTCCTGCATTCACTTCACTTGCTACATTATACCATGTTAAATTTCAAAGAAGAAATAGAAGGATGCTAAAGTAGGGGTCTCCAACCTTTGTAGACCAAGAAACATATCTGGGATGCTGAGAAGATGTCATGGCATGCTCACAAAATGGCTACCAAGGAGGGCATGGCCAGTAAAAAAAAAAAAGCTATTTACCCTTGACAAATGGAGAAATGGCTCCATCCCATCTTTTCTAGCAACCCAAGATATTTAAGATAATTATTATTTAAAATGTAATCTTTCTCCCTAAGATGAAGTATGTAAAAATAAGCACAATTACAAAAACAACTGTAAGAGGCCTCTTGTTATTAACTGGGTATTAAAGAATCAGCAGTGGATTCTCTGCAAAGGTTGTGGAAAAGTCCTTTGGGGCTGGCCAGTCCTAACCTAGTTTCATAGAAGCTAGGTTAGTAGTGCCATTAATATTGTGTCTCTTAAAGAGGGCAGGAATCCTGGAGATGGCATAGCATAATTCTTGCCACCCAAATGCTACAGGCTGGGCAATTTCAGGAAAGGGCCCTAGGAACGCATAGGAGCATAAATGTAGCATCTTCTACAGCTCTGTAAATAATCTGTGTCTTTGCTTTAAAGAGTTGCAGACATGTGCTCTGTTCATGTGCTTTGGAGGCCCTTATAGTAGTTTGTTTCTGAAACACTGCATCTAATTCGTATGTCCTGGCGTACAGTTTCTATCAGCCTCCGCAGCATGGTCCTTGCGCAAGGCCTGGACTGGCTGTCCTCCAAAATACCTGGAGGGTCAAAAGTTGTGAAGAACTGGCCTGGCTAGACTTCCCCCATCATAGGGCCTTTGGGGACCCTTTGGCATACTGTCAAGCAATCAGAAGAACATTGCTGAAAAGTCATCTCCTTACCTTGTCCAAGTTTATGTCGGTTGTTAAGGAAGATATGTACAATGGTACCCGATGGTTGTTGCATATCTAGCAGAGATCCTTGGTTACTTTTCATCATACGGGATTGTGGGAAGATGCTGGCCAGCCTAGAGAAGCTGGATGAGGACTCGAAATGGAAGCCAGGAGAATGCCTCTGGAGAAAAGAGAAAGGAGAGATGCTTGTGAAAATAAAGCATTTAGGAAAGGGTGCTTATAACTGGGATTATCAAGCTTTGTGTATATAATAATTTCTCTTTTAGCTCTGCCCAGGAGCTCCAGACATTGACATTCCCTGGAATTTTTCAGGTTTGGGGGGGGGGGCAAGAAATGGCAGAAGGTTAGAACATCCACTAACCTCTCGAAGAACCCCTCATCTTCTCAAAAAATTGGACTGATTTCTCCAGTACTGACATCCCCAAGTCTCAACAATCATGCAATTAAAAGGTTTGCATTTAGTTATTTGCATTCAACCAAAATCCTGTTTGTCATGCATTGACACTAGGCCTTCCAGAACTTGTTGCCTGCTCAATGAAAACAATCAAAAAATAATCAGTGAACACTGCTATAGCTTGCTCAAACTTGTATTATGATGACCGAGCAAAACTAGAGCCTTTCCGAATATGGCGCTGGTTTTCCAATCAACCCAGCTCAACCATGCATAATACAAGAGATTGGGGAAATTGCCATGTGGCAGAGGAGGATAAAAATAATGCAAGAACAAACAGCTCCTCAATGTCTCATCCGCCCTGTTTCCTGATAAAAATCTAATGGGCTGGAATGTTTCTCGTTTGGATTACTAAATAGTAATACGTGCCACGAGAAGAGAATATGTGCAGCTCAGGACTGAACTGTGGGGTTTTGGGGGCTCTCTGAGCTTGGTTGGTTTCTTGTAGATGTTTGCTTACCAGGCTAGGTAACATCATCAGGGCGAGGGGGAGTGGGGTTTTCTGGCTGTTTATAGAGAGTAGCTTGCCCTGCCAGTCTTGGTGGGGGCACAACTTTCTCCTTGATTAGGGTATGGTTTCTTCCCTGTTTATCTCAGTGTTTTTCAAACTTGGCCACTTCAAG